ACAATTACTTAACAACCTCAACTATAAAAGGCGTGAAGAAGCATTAATGAACTGAATTGAATACCCGAGCTACCATCTGTGATCATTTACTACTGCATTCAATACTCTGTTCCTTCAATCTTATTGAGCATCAGTGTTTATCTTCTATACACTCTGAAAGAGAGATTACTCACTTATCATTGATTACATTAGTGTGATACTCAAGAGTGTGGACTCTTGAGTGTGGGTTTGTAACCTTATGGGAAGTAAGGGGGAGTGATTGAGTGAATCAATTACTGTACTGAGGCACCAAGAGCCTGATCAATCTTGGAAGATAGTGGAGTACTCAGAGGTGTTCTGAGGACTGGACGTAGGTCAAGTGGTTAAAACCGAACCAGTATAAACCTTGTGTTTGTCTCTCTACGATGAAACCTTCCTAAACTTACATTCTCTGTTTTTGATAGTATTCATTTTTAATTACACAATTTTTATATCTCACTCAATTCACTCCCCTCTTGGGTGAGACTGCCACTAACAAAATCAAATGGATTCAACAAAGCAAGCAACATATGAAGGTGGGAGGAAAAAGAAATGAAGCCAGTACTGAAACAAACATATCAAGCCACCAGTGAACGTAAAATCTATTTGGAAAAAAAAAGCTAGGAGGAAATATGAAAATGAAACAGATCCTCTGTCTCCAATGAACAGCCACAAGCAGCTATGAAACAAGGAAGAGCATAATCGAAAATGACAAGACCAAACGATGCCATGAACAAAAGATTATTGAAGAGGAAAAAGCAAACCACAAGCAAGGAACATTTGAAGGATGGACAGATCAATGCAATGCATGAATGAAGAAAGTTCATGAGTAAAGAAAATGACTAATGAAGAGGAGAGACCTTACCTGAGCACTAGATCTAAGCCATGAACCCAAACACGTCGACCTCACCAAACCACGATCAAACGATGTGAGGAACGAAGATTGCAAACGAGGGATGGACGAATCGGACAATTCAATGCATGATCTTCTTTCGATGAATTGAGAAACACCTCACCAGTGCTTGCTCTTGCGAGCCCACAACGACGTCATTAGTGGTAGGGCATTTTGTCGAGTTTTAGAAGGAGCGAAGGCAAAGGATTTTCCTGAAAAGAAGAGAGGAAGCTTTTGATTCAATCTTGACGAGTGTTTTTGTCAAATACCGTTGATACCTTCTGATAAGGGATAATTATTACTCCAACGATCACCTTTTTTGCACCCAAAAGTGAAAATTTTTTGCTTTTTTAGAAATCGAGGTTTTGGGGCCAAACCGAGGTTTTGTAAAAAAATCTGGGTATTTGGATGATATTTGGGCCAAACTGACCAAAAGCTTTTTTTTTTTTTTTTTTTCAGATTGCCAAACACCGCATATGTCTTGCATCACAATTTATTTAGGGGAAGTGATCATATGCTAATTGACAAAAACAGGTCCCGTGCTTGTTTCCTGTATACGAAGATCTGATATAATGACCCCACCACCATGTCTCAGTGCAAAACCAATGTGTTTCTCATTAATCATAGTGCCCTCTTGGAACCGTCAATGGTCTCAACCAATCTGAATATTTTCCTTTTAATTAATACTTCATACTCCTCCGGTCCTTAATATAGGACCCATTTAACTAATTTGATTATATTAAGGAAGTTAGGTAAGTTAGTTAATTATGATATAAGTGACACATTTTTCCTAAAATACCATAATCATCTTTCTTAATACCCCCTCTCCCTCTTCTACTTGATTATGGTTGAGGGAGTATCCATAGGGGTAATTTAGAGAAAATTGATAAATATGATAAATGGGTCATATAGACCAAAATCAACTCAAGAATTGAGTTCTATATTAAGGACCGGAGGAGTACTATATAAAAGCAGGTTCAATATTTAGGCATCTTTGATTTGAGGTCCTGTGTTCTAATGACTCATGAATCCCATATTCCTAAAAGTTGTTGAATGCTTACCTTGTAGTATCTTGTTCGTCTCCTGTTTGTGAAAGCCTAACTTAGGAAGCATTTTGTACAATTTGATGGCATGCCCATTACTTTCTCTTTTGAAAAAGAGTACTCTAAACACAATTTGATTCCATGGGGCATCCATTATTTGATATAAACGTTCAACTATAAAAATGAGGTTTAATTTAGTCATCAGCATGGTCAGAAGACAATATTTAGCGTCAATTATAAAAATGAGGTTTAATTCAGACATCAGCATGGTCAGAGGACAATAGTGTTTCAAACCACCATCGAAATTTTCCTCCTGGATTATCTTGAGTGGAGGGAAGAACTTGTGGACTCGCTTTTTGGGTCACTTGCTTTAATTTAATTGATTGGCCTAACCTCATTAATTAGTAATGATTAGCAACTTTGCACATTGGAAAGACATAAAAACGACGGAACATATATGATTGAAAAAAGATGGTGTACATGATTTCCGCAAAAAAACTAGTATCCTATCACGTGCGAAGCCCCTCTAAAGTTATTTAAGTTTTGAATATTTCTCTCAACATGTTAATTTTTTTAGGATGTGCTATCATTATTGTTCAAATCGCATCAATTTTTTCACTTTTTTCTTTTTTGGTCATTTGAAAGTTAGAAAGAGAGTCAAATGAGCGCTTTAAAACAGTCATCTAGTGGAGAGAAGCTCTGCCAGAATGAAAGATCACATCAATGCATTGTTTTGGACCCCAATGCAAGCTGTGGTGGCTTCCATGGATTTGTTGCGCTCCTTAAAGAATTGCCATGGTTAATAAGAATTGATTTAGTTGATAAAAAGTCAGCTAGTAACTTATAAGATCATGAGTTTGAATTCTGCTACCGATAAAAAAACCGGGCCAATATATAAGTATTTTTATAAGTATTTTTTGAGTTCGAAGGTATCTCCTATTCCCAATAAGCTTTTGAGATCCAACTTACATAAACTTTTATAATATTGGAAAAAAAAAAATTGTCATGGAGTCCTAACAAAAACTAACAAAAAATCCTGATAAATGAAGAGTTATTATATTTCTTACATAAGACTTTACGGTGATTCTCCCTGGAAAATACTCTCTCCGGGTTCTATATACCAGTTTTTTTTTCCCCCCCATTTCAGTCATCCTATATGATTATTATTTGTTACTCTGATCATTATATATCATCAGTGTTAATTTTGCAGTGCGTGAGCCCAACAAAGTTTCATTGTGAGAGTATTAATTAATTTGAACTGTTATAAGTTAAATAAATATATTATTTTTTTAGTGTACTAAGGAAAAAATTTTAAAAAATAGAATAAAAATTATAAAAATTTCAATAAATAAATTATTATATTGTACATTTCTTTTGCTTATTTTTTATTATCAAGTGGAATATTCTCATTACATAAAAATTATAATATATAAATATGAAGATTATACGTGAGTGCATGAATTCAATATTTTTTGTAAAAAAATACAATATTTTATAATATTTAGTTTTTTAATAATTGAATATATGAATTTATAATATTTAATTTATTTTTAAAACAGCAGGATCCAAAGTAAATTAAATCATATGATACTCTTCTAGTCTTATTTATAAGACATTTCCCACGCACTTCACACAGACTAAGAAAAACTTTAAATTACATTAGTTCTTCATTAAAATATAATAATTTTTCGACTTTATCCTTATTTAATATATACACCTTTTAAAAAAATAACCATTTACATTATAATAAATAAAGGATAAAATAGTACATTCATACTAAAACTTTAATAAAGTGACTTATAAATAGGATCAAGAAAAATCTTCTATTTCTGTCTTATAAATAGGATCAAAGGAATAGTTAACTAGATAGCTGTTCTCTTTCAGCATAGTGTCTAAAATTATCCCTATTTGTATTTATATTAAGATGAAGGAAAAAAAACAAAACAAAACAAAACGTTGGCACTCAAACGACAGGATTGGTATTTTTTAAAAAGGTAGGGTAATAATGTACTCCTCCGGTCTTTAATATAGCACCCAATTCTTAAGTTGGTTTTGGTCCTAAATATAAAACCCATTTCTCATATTTATCAATTTTCTCTAAATTATCCCTATAGATACTCTCTCAACCATAATCAAGTAGAAGAGGGAGAGAAGGTATTAAAAAAAATGATTATGGTGTTTTAGAAAAAATATGTCACTTTTCTTATAATTAACTAACTTACCTAACTTCCTTAATCTAATCAAACTAGTTAAATGGGTCTTATATTAAGGACCGGAGGAGTATCATCTTGATATTATTTTTTAGGTATATTCAATATTCTAATTAATTTTTTATTGTGCATCCAACATCCTAATTTTATTATCATGGTATATTTAACACCCTAATATTATTTTCGAGGTGCTGGATATATTAAGAAAATGATATTACGGTTTAGATATATCATAGAAAAGGTTATGATACTGGATGCATTTTTACTTTTACTTTTTACCAAAAAAAAAACAAGAAGAGGAAGAGGAATATAAAGTTTTCTTGGTGCAGTTGCAAGCGTGCTTTTTGCGGGCGGCTCTTAGGAGCACTAATTAGGATTGCAAAAGTGGATGCTTTTAATTAATATGATTCAAAGTACTCCAAGTTGACGATCAAATAACGTAATACGCACCACTATAGTGTAGTATTATTGCACTAATCCACGATTTAATGATCTCCTGCTTTGAACTCAATTTATTGATATGAAATGAATGGATAAGCACAAATTGTTAACGAGTTCGTCAAGTGTTTTAACAGTTGATTATATATATAATTATTAATGATTAATAATGATGGCATCTCTGGTTGATTCAGTTGAAGAGCTGCTGGAATGTGACACTTTCCTACTACTGGTTTGAGTTTGACTCGTCCTCCTCCCTCCTCTCCCCCAGATGCACATATATATATATATATATATATATATATGTATGTATGTATGTATATGTATACACATCCCTTCACTACACATTGTTGTTCATAATATACCATCTCAAACCAGAGAGAGAGAGCTTGAGAAGCAAGAACCATTTCAGTTCAGTTTAGCTTCATTTGCTTCATCATCAACCTCATGCCATATTAGCTTGACGTGACTCCAAAGAATCAATCAGTAGGATTCATTTCAGAGGCAAACCTGCATATATCAGCATTTATATTTTTCGAAAACCCAAAGCCACATATATAGCCGCATCCATCCCAGACACTAACATCTATATATATACACTGTTTGTATTCATGTCTGGAATGGATTCATCATCAGTTGCATCAACACTGTTAATGGGGATGACGAGGTGGGAGCAAACTAGGGTTGCAGTGATGGTTCCGGGGTTGAAGATGATGGTGTGGGTGTGCCTCGCCATGTCGGTGATGCTGTTTGTGTGAGAGAGTGTACATGGGAATGGTGATAGTGCTGGTGAGGTTGTTTGGAGTGAGCAATCCTAAGAAGCGTTACAAGTGGGAGCCTCTCAAGCATGACGACGATGTTGAGCTTGGAAGCTCCACTTACCCAACGGTTCTCGTTCAAATTCCTATGTACAATGAGATTGAGGTATAGACATATATACGTAGTGCTTCTCATATATAAGATCACTCATCATATGTGCGCTTAACATAATTAATCATTAATGATGCAACCAACTAAGCAAGTTACCTTTTTTATAGAACATTTTGAACGTATTTTTATCATAATTAAGAAAGTCTTAAACCTCGTTAACTCGGTATTAAATTTTAATAATTTTTTAACTTTATTCTTATTTAATATAAATGCTTTAATGGAAAGTTCAAGAAAGAAAGAATAATAAATTTGGAGTTATCCATATTGTACATTTATATGATAAATTAAATGAGGTGATTCATATTAAGTACAAAAAAAAATCTCTCTCTCTCTCTCTGTGCCCGGCTATTAATAGGATCAGAAGAGTATTAAAAAGATTAAGTAGAAGAAATTTAATCCCCTTGGGGAAAGTCAGGAATTGATTATAGTATCAGATAACAAGTAATACGCGTATTTTTTTTTATGAGCTACACTTTAGAGCTGTCTAAATCTTACACATTTTTTTTAGTATATTACCCTCAATTTATTAGGTACCTCTCTCATCTTTTTTTTCCACTTATTCTCTCTCATATTTTTTGCTGCTCATTCTCTCCTCCAATCAGCTTTTTATATTTTTTCCCCTCTAATTAATTTTAACCAATTTTGATTCGATTAATTGTCTCTTGTGAAAAAAAAAAATAAAGGGAGTGATAATTAGAAAAAGAGTAAGAATTGGCATTCATGATGATGAGTGGTTGGTCCATGGGGAGCGTGCAGGTGTACAAACTGTCAATAGGAGCAGCCTGTGGGCTCTCATGGCCGTCTGATAGGATTATCATTCAAGTTCTGGATGACTCCACTGATCCTCTTATCAAGGTCCTCTCTATTCCTTGCATTTGTATTAGTATTCTGAAAAGTCCAATTTCTGAAAGTAAAATAAAATGACAGGAAATGGTGTTGACGGAGTGCAAGAGATGGGAGAGCAAAGGGATAAACATAAAGTATGAGATCAGAGAGAACAGAAGAGGCTACAAAGCAGGAGCTCTCAAGGAAGGAATGAAGCATCCTTACGTCCATCTCTGTGACTACGTCGCCATCTTTGATGCCGACTTCCAACCTCACCCTAATTTCCTCCTCCAAACCGTTCCCTTTCTCATTCACAACCCTCAACTTGCTCTCATCCAAGCACGCTGGACTTTCGGTATCGAGTTTCTAGTAGCATCATTAGAGATATTGCAATGGGTTATCTAAGTGGGATGGAGAACTCTATCTCTTGTGAGGTCGAAAAACCAGCCCACTTAGCATCCCATGCTATTAAGTCTCTAAGATATTAATTGTCTTAAGCCTTTTACTTCATTGAACTACAAGAGAACATATATAAATATATTCGACACCACATCCAAAAGATTCAACATTAGATTTACCTTAACCCAATAATTTCCCCATTTCCCCATAAAGTATGAGTTCACTTGCACGAGTCTTGGGCTTTCTATGCAATATAAAGCCAGCCTCAATCCCAGGAATTTTATTTACTGATATAATAAAAAATATAATTACAACACTTGTCTTGTGGCTGACCACTTGAACACCAACAAACAGACAACATGAGAAAATTCTAGCTGGCCTAAAACTAAAGACAATTATTGGAAGCATATCATGGAATAGTAATGTTCTCTCCTATTGTATTGCAGTAAATGCTGATGAATGCTTAATGACAAGAATGCAAGAGATGTCACTAGATTACCATTTCAAAGTTGAGCAAGAAGTTGGATCCTCTACCTACGCTTTCTTTGGCTTCAATGGTAAATCATTCTTCTTATCTTCTCACAACTGCTTCACTCCATGATCCATTCTGCATTACCAAATGCTGCGTGCATATTCAGGCACAGCTGGTGTCTGGAGGGTTTCTGCATTGAACGAGGCTGGAGGATGGAAGGACAGAACCACTGTGGAAGACATGGACTTGGCTGTCCGAGCCAGTCTCAATGGCTGGAAGTTTTTGTACCTTGGTGATCTTCAGGTATCATAAACTATGAGCTAGTTTGTGAGTTTTGGTTTAGTCAATTGAAAAACCTTCTGATGAACCTATTCAAAGAAATAGATAAATCAAGCTAATCATAAACACCCCACATATGGCATGTTCATGTCTCTTAATTGACTTAAGAATGATTTTCTATCCAGTTCAGCATAGTCAATCGAAACTCAGTCTGAAGCCAAATCAAATCAAATACCTTTTGGATAGATCAACAAAAGGAAAACAGAGCAAATCGATTATGAATAAATATGAAACATGTTAGGTACTCTTAGAGGGCACACCTCTCTCTAACATGCATGTTTCTTCATAATTTGTTGGATATGCCAATTATATCTACCCAAGAATTTTTCATGCAATATATGATATTTTATCTCAGATGATTTAATAAATTAAGATGGTCACAGTGATTTGAATAAGAAACTTTCACTTGACATTTTGCTTGAACTCATAATTTCGTCAATAAATTCAGGTGAAAAATGAATTGCCAAGTACATTCAAAGCTTACCGTTATCAACAACACCGATGGTCCTGTGGGCCAGCTAATCTCTTTAGGAAAACGGCAATGGAAATCATAAGAAACGAGGTATTAATCTCAATTTCTTTTATAACTACCTCCAGAGGACCTTGATAAGGACATTCAACATTTACCCGTCACTACTAATTCTATGTTTATCATATTTTGCAGAAAGTGTCAATGTGGAAGAAGCTCTATGTGATATATAGCTTTTTCTTTGTCAGGAAGATCATAGCTCATGTGGTCACATTTGTGTTTTACTGTGTTGTTCTTCCTGCAACTGCTCTTGTTCCTGAAGTGGAAGTTCCCAAGTGGGGTGCTGTATATATACCTTCCATCATTACTCTGCTTAATGCTGCAGGAACTCCAAGGTCAAAATTATCTGACTTGTTTCCTCTACTCTTTAAAGTTGATTTAACAGTGACTGTTCAAACTGTTTTTTTTTTTTCCTTCCTCTTTTGGTCAACGAATGCTCAAACTTTATAATACAAATGTGAGGTGCAATTTCCTCAACAGTCACAGATAAGATTCTTCAATATAATTATCATACGTGGAAGAACTTCTTTCAAAGATCCATATATAAAGTTCTAAGCCGTAAATAATATCCACTTGATATGTTTTTACCAAGAACTTGATAGCAGATCCCTATAGCAGTGCGCCCTCGTTTTTTTCCCTTTTTCTTGCACAGAAATTTTGCCTTTACTAATTAGTTCATTCCTAACTTTCCACAATTACGGGGTGCAGATCACTCCACCTATTGGTATTCTGGGTTCTATTTGAAAATGTCATGTCAATGCATCGGACCAAGGCAACGCTCATAGGTTTGCTGGAGGCAGGGACAGCAAATGAATGGGTGGTCACTGAGAAATTGGGAGATGCTCTTAAAACAAAATCAGGAGGAGAAGCACCAAAGAAGCAACGTGTCACAATTATTGAAAGGTATGTTTCTTTCCTCTTTTCCTGGGATAGCAGCATTTTGAAATCTAAATAAGTAAACTTCGGAAAAATTTCTGAAGAAATAAGAGACACCAACGTATATATAGCTCGACCCAATCAATAGTGTGTATAACAGAATACTCAAACTCTAATATACAAATAACATAACCATATACGACACTGGGATTCTTTACTATGGGAGAAACAGCATGGACCAGAATTTTCTCAACCAATTAGACTTTTCCAAGTCTCCCTTAGCATATGTAATTTAAAGGAGAAAACGGGAGAAAAGAAGAGGGCGCTACCATGAGATTCCATAATTTTACTTCAGCAAAATGGAATTCTCAGCACCATATTTATATACATTTTTACATTTCAGTGGAACTGTAATTGATCAAGTAGTGCTTGATATATAGCAAAATTTACAAAATAAATTCCGTAGTCTAGTGGACAAAACTGCTATTCATAGTAGAAATTAGACAGCGCCATTGGAGCCGACCCGCAAGTTTCCCTTCTGTTCAGCAGAAGGCGTAACCCTCAAAGTGATCTGTAATTAAGAGTTCCTTATACAAGGAGAAGAAATCTACTTTGTTAATCTATCATTCGTTATAACTGGATAGGTTCCTAGAAGGTTAAGAATGAATATGTCATTAGCTCCTATCAACATAGTAAAAGTCCACTGTTCAATAAATTTCATGTAATATCGCTCCATTTTTTTCCCAAAAAAAAAAAAATGAAGCCATCAAGATGATAATCATCGTGCAAACAACTCACACATAAGTTATACAACTAGCATTTTTTTTTTTTCACCTTTTCTTCTTTCATGATGATTACAATCAGAATCTATCTGCTCGAACTTGCCTTTGGGGCCTACCTGTTCATCTGTGGATGCTACGACCTAGCCTTTGGGAAGAACCAGTACTTCATATACCTCTTCCTGCAATCTCTTGCCTTCTTTATTGCAGGGTTTGGCTACGTTGGTGTCTTTGTTTCCAATTCATCATAGTGCATCTCTTCCATCAGTAAGATCTCAAGCATCTGCCATTTGACATCAAGCCCATGACAAGAAAGATCGGAAATCAACTTAGGCAGGAATCAGCTACTTAAACTATACATTCTTTTGCAAAAATCATTTTTTTTCCATGTTGAATTGTTTCCTCAAGGAAGTAGTTGAGGAGGTTAAGGAAATGAAACAACAAAAAAATTGTTTGTTATATATATGAAAAGCCAATACAAAAAAAGAAAACGACAGATTAGAATTGAGAATGAAGCAGGGACCAAAATAAGTGAAGTGAGAGCTTTTACTAAATTTGACTTATCTCCTTCTGCTGTCAAGAAAGATACAGAAACTGAATCGGATCAAGCAAAATGAGATTTCAAAACAAAGGACCATTTCAACCTCCCTTGAACCTGTTCCCTTATCAAATAAAGCTCTTTATTCTTTCTAATTTACCCTGGAAATAATTTAACAAGGAAGAACCGTGTGCCAATTAAAAAATACAACAACTCTTTTGCTCCCTGGCAAGCTAGTTGCCAAACGCACAACTCTTCTAGGGAGTGTATGTGCATGCACGAGGGTACAAGGTCAAAATTTAAGGAACTTCAACTTAGATCATGTAAAGATGAAAGGTCAGATTTTTCAAAATTCATGAATCAAGCATATTATCAGCAATTTTAAAACTACGGAAATCCAATCAAAAATCATCACTGAATGGCGTCCATGCGCAGGCACACCATCAGCGCAAAAACTAAAGAGGAGCACATGTCCAACATAAGGTGGTCATATTTCAAGTTTTGACTTAGTTCAGGATCTAGACCAAGCCTGAAGAATATGTAGCATAGCTAGTTTTTGACTAACTTCAGCGAGAAAACGTGGCATAGTCAACAAATCCAGGAGTTCAAGAAAAACAGTGAGGAGAAATACTCCACTCACATTAGTTCTAATTAAGTTTTGACCATAAAATTACAGCAAATGCAACGTGTTGCAACTAAAAGCATTTTGGTCCGATACATGTCAGTAAATGTTACCTTGAGAATTATCAATTATCTTCAATGTCAAAATTTAAACATGATCATCTGAGCAGCTTTTTCAATGTTAAATCTATAGGGTACAATTATCCAATCAGCTGAAGTTCACAGTCTAAGACGATGTGAATACCTCATCAAAGCAACTAGATCTCTACAAAGAGGCAAAGCTGCTTTTTCAAGGAAATGATCCTTCATTCCAGTATTCGCTCAACTCTTTTAAGGTGGATCTCACTGGAGGAGAAAATAGGCACGAAGAAGGAATCTTGGAATTGTATCATTTCATAAAAGTGTAAACACACCTTCAATCAATCATCAGTCTTCTAGAGAAGAAAGAGAGTCCAATTGAAATCCTGAAAATGCATTTGGCTAGCCGAGTTGGAATTAATCAGATATCTTTGTTATGGAATTTATGTAAGCTTCTGGGATAACTGATTTCAGTCTCATAAGAAAAGAGTTATTGCAGTCCCCAACAGAAAACACATGGGGTGATACTGATGCCAATAATTACAAAATTTTCACCATTTCCCACATCTATCTTATACAGTTCTGCAAAATGTTCCTGAAAATGATGTACCAGTTGGCAATAGAAGGACCTACTAGGAGAAATAACATTTATAGAAAGAATTCCAAGTTCAGAGAGAACTGATTTGGCTGCCAGAAGAACATTCTTCCTAAGAAATTCCACTGGCGGGGCACTTATACCACTCCTTACATCACTTGAATCTAGATCAACCATGATGACATCGAATTTATTGTTGACATCTTCACCATCAGGAAAATGACAATGACCATGTTGCTCACAAGTGGCAGAAGAGCACATAGGATGCCAATTCGCCTGATGTGAAAGTTTCTTCACAAATTTAATGGCGTCTCCAACAACAACATGCATAAACTCGCTATCTTCTAATCCAAAATACCGTTTTGCAACCTTCAAAACTTCCTTATCAGCATCCACACCCGTGACCTCAAAGTCCAATTGGTTTCTCAAGAAAGAATGTAAAGCCCCACCTCCAACCCCAAGACATAAAGCTTTTGGTCTAAACCCAAGCTGAATTCGTCCTTCTATATATTCACTGATCAAAGATAGGCTTGCCACCGTTGGAGCCAAGTAAGGGTGTACCAAAACCCGAAGATCAGGCACAAACTTTACCCCTCCAATCCTTACACCTGTCGAATGAAAATCTTTTGCATCAGGAACAATAAGAATTTCAGTCTGAATCAAATTAGGCATCCTCTTGAACCTCAAACGCCTCCGAAATTCCCGTTTATAACAACCACCCAACCTATTCTCGCTTTCAATTTCAACATCTTCAACCAACATTTCACCAACAACACAACCCGCACATTTATGTATTACCACACTAGAAACCAAATTATCTTCATAACTCAAAATAGGTACCTCCGGAATGCCGTTTTTAAACAAGTATTTGGGAGACAAGGCAAGTAGAAGAGGTTTTGAGCATGCTTCAAGCTCCTTCCGATGCGACGAAGATTCTAGCGGACGGTGATAAATAGTTGGTGATGAATCACCCTCTTTGAATTGGTTTCCCAGCAAAATGAGGCGAGATACACCAGGAGAGCTAAAGAGCAGCTGGAGATGACCCCATTCAGTAGAGAAGATCCAATCACTTTCGCGGGCTTCAGGGACGAACATTGCAACAACAAGGGGTGACTCAGAAGCTGGAACCGGGGAGTCCAGAACAGCAACTCGGAGCAGTGAATCAGCACAAGTAGGATCGGGAATTGTGAAGGTGATGAATCGAGAAGGACAAATGCTTTCAAAGGCTGCAACATCGAGCGCCATCACCGTAAACACATCCAGAGCAGTTGTTCTTCTTCACTCTGGTTCTCGATCGATGCGTGCCTGAGTGCCTTTACGCATAAAATAAATAATGCAAAGTTGAAGTGAAAATCCATACCCTATAAATTATAATAGTACGAACTCTATTTATAACAGAAATTAAATTAGTTATTTATGATAAATAAATATTATTTTTTTTAAAATATCGTTAATAATAAGTGTCTTAATTAAAATTATAATTATTAAAAAATTATTTTAAAAAATATATATATATAATAAAAAATAAATTAAATTAAATTTTTATATTTAAAATCAAAAATAAAATCAAATAAAATTTTATATAAAGAAAAAAAATAGTATAAAAAAGTATTATTATCTTTGATTAATACTTTTCAATGTCTCGTGATAGATGGTGTATCGTTGCTTTTATCATTTCCCGCCACGACATAACACAACGAGATAGAAACCGGTAACAGAAAAGGCTGACTTGTTCTCCGGCCGGTCTCTCCGGTGCACAGAGAGCCGCCGGTGAAAAAGTGAGGGACACGTTGCAGTTAGCGATATGATTTCGGTGACAATTCGAAAGTCGGGTTGGTCGTTCCGGTCACCGCAGCTCATATCTGCTGATGAATAAATCAAATGGGAAAAAGAGATGCATTATTTTCCCTCTTGTCTGGACTGTAAAAGATCCAAATTCATCCTCTTGACAAACTTATCCGCTCTTTTTATACCCTGTGAGGTAGATTTTCAGTCTTTAGTAGATCAGTTTGGTTTGATTGAGCTAGTTCCGCGAGGCAACAAATTACCCGGAAAAGTGGTAAATTGGGATCATGAGATGCAATGCATTATGAGATAGACTTGTTGGATCCATCTGTAATCTGGAGATTACTTGCTTTTCTTTTACATTGTGTGAGAAGGGTATTTCTTGATACTTTAGGCCCTCAAAAAA